CAAATCACCTCCCGAAGCTAAATGAACCATCGGAACTCACTTCCGAGCCTTCTAACACATAAGTCAACACCCGGTTGACTTTTCCAACTTAAGTCTTCTTAAAAGAGACTAAGTGTCTCATTTCTTACCAAATCCTCTCCGAACTCGAACTAATCAACTCGATCACATAAAACATGGATAACGAAGTGTAAAAAAGCTAAAATAGGGGAAACGAAGCGGTAACTCATGAGACGACTGGCCGGGTCGTCACAGAAATATGGAGGAATGAAATATATGTTAGAGTAATTTTAGGATACTAATTATTATCATTAATTCCCTTAAAATGTACATAAATGGTAATTGAGTATATAAAATGTAATTATAGTAAAACTTGAGTAGGGAGGGTAATATAGTTTCATATAATATATAGGAATAAAAAAATTCCATTTACGAATTAAGGGAGCATTTGCATCTATACCCGCTTTTTGGGTCACGTTTTCACTTGTGCCCGCTTTACAAAAAAAATTACAAGCGTACCCACTTTTTCGCATAACTTCAACATACGGGGCTGAAGTAGCAAAGGCAATCACGCAAAACTTCAGCAGACGAGCCTAAAGTAGCAAAGGCAATACGCTGAAGTTTTTTTGCCCTGAATAAGCTTTTTCAAAAACTTCAGCAGAAGATGCTGAAGTTATTTAGTTCATTTGTAAAAAATTTAGCACTAAATAAGCTGAAGTTTTTTTGTCCTGGATTCATTAGTTTTATCATAAAGCTTTTTCAAAAACTTCAGCAGAAGATGCTGAAGTTATTTAGTTCATTTGTAAAAACTTCAGCACTAAATAGGCTAAAGTTTTTTTTGTCCTGGATAAGCTTTTTCAAAAACTTCAGTAGAAGATGTTGAAATTATTTAGTTCATTTGTAAAAACTTCAACACTATATAAGTTGAAGTTTTTTTTGTCCTGGATTCATTAGTTTTGTCATAAAGCTTTTTCAAAAACTTCACCAGAAGATGTTTGAGTTATTTAATTCATTTGTAAAAACTTCAGCACTATATAAGCTGAAGTTTTTGAAAAAACTTTCTAACATACTAGATAAATAATCACCTTATTCTTTCATAGTGTATTACTATTATAAAATAATCTGATTGCCAACAGTATCTAAATCATACATTTTGGAAACAATAAACGTGAAAAAAATAGAATTACGTGGAAATATTCACAAATTATTGTCTACTAACTTACGTAATTATTTATAATTTATTTTTAAATAATCTGATAAACATACTTATGACAATCATCCCATGAACTGAAGTTTCATAGCAGCACCAATAGCAGCAGCAGCAGAAGAAGAAGAAGAAGAAGAAGAAGAAGAAGAAGAAGAAGAAGAAGAAGAAGAAGAAGAAGAAGAAGAAGAAGAAGAAAGAGGGGAAGGAGGAGGAGAAATGGGTTGAAATTGTTTTAAAAATGAGTATAAGCTAAAACGTTTTTAAAAAATGGGTATAGATTAAATGGGGGCGACCAAATAAGGCGCCCTGTACAATTTTTACCGAATTAAGCGTATATGCAGTAACAACCTAAAGATCAAGGTCAATGGCATTTGACTTTGGATATATAATTTGTTAGAGATTTGGAAAAGAAAAATTATTTGAAATAGAAATCGAACAATCATATTAGGAAGTAGGGGTGAGCATTTGGTACTTTGGTCCGGTATTTAACAATTATGGTTTGGTACTTCAATATATCAATTGTGCGTACTAAATACCGTACCAAAGTAGTTCGGTACGATTCAGTTTTTTCTTATTTGGTTCGGTACGGTTTCGGTATCATACCAAAGTCTTTCAATGTAACTAAAATCAATTAACTACATCAATGTATTCACTGCTCCTCAAATGTATAGCTAGAAAATAAATTGTGTATTATCCTATATACAGAATTTTGAACTATAGAAAATAAAAATATAGTTGGGCTGGAAAATAAAAATATAGTTGGACTTAGATTTGATTAAAAACTCAATACCATATACCGTATCGAAATACTGTAATTTTTGTATCGAAAAAATCAAAATCGAAATACCAAATTAATTTGGTTCAATTTGGAATTTGGTTTTCAGATTTTATGCCCACCCCTATTTGGAAGTTGACGTGATTGCCTTAATATAGCAGCTGTAGCACTGGGCCTTAGCCTTATACTATCAAAAAATTGCATGGCATGCCTCTCAATGGGACTAGTCTTGACAAAATGTCTGCATTTTTACTATTTTAACAAAATGCCCATGTTTTTTTTTACTTGAACACCATAATTTTTTAATATTTAAATCTTGAAATTCTTGTTTGGTGGTGGATTTTAGAAAGTATTGAAAAAGACAAAGTGGTTCTTTTTGTTTTAGTGTTATTTGGCTACATTAGTAATTTAGGTATATTTGTGTAGGTATTTGAAAGCCTTAGTTTCAAATTGGAGATCATTTGAAACAGATTTGTGGTGATTTGATCGAAATTGAAGTTGCAAATTCAAATAACACTTTGTTAAAATAATACAAAAAACTTATATGAATCGGGTAAACTTCGATGAACACTTAACAGATAGGTAGAGTAACTATGACATAAATCCACCAATCCGGTAGAGAAATACTTGACAAGTAAAATTATGCCAACCTGATAAACTTTGATGAATAACTTAATAAATAAGTAAAGTAAATGCAACATAAACTCTACTAATCCGATAGAAACAATAACTATGTGCGGGTCAAGGATATTTTTAAACGGAAAAAGTCCATATATGCCAATGAACTATACGAAATTGTACACATTAGCCTGTCGTAAAATATAGGCTCACATGTGCCCTTGCCGTGTATAAGGTGGCCCACATATGCCCTTTTTTAGATGGACCTCACTAATAAAATGTTAGCACCAGATTTTGACACGTGTCACAATCTGGTGCATTCCATCTATACCTGATAGAATATAAGGGTCCATCAAACTCTATAGAGAACCAGGTTCTCTATCAGGTTCAACAGTACACATACACAGTAGTAAATAAATGGCAAAAGGAATTTTACGTGGAAAATTCCCAGCTCAACGGGATTAAGAACCACGACCTACCCTTGTAGGATTTCAACTTCACTACTTAGCAACTTTTAGATTACAACCTATGCAACCTAGGAATTAACCTCTTAATCCGTTCCTAACTTGTAATACTCTATTACAAGCCTTTGTAATAGAGTTATTACAAACTCTAGCCAAGACTCAAACGCACTGGTTTAAGGTTTACAAAGGGGTTCCTATAGAATGCTTCTAAATAAGCTAGATAGGATTTACAATTAAAGAACCGTGACAAAATTACAACTCATCTAAGGACATACAATAACTCAATGTGAGAACTGGTCCGTAGTTGCTTTGTTCTTTATTCTTGAAGCACTTGAAACTTTCTTGCTGAATAGTAACGTGAATGAGCTTCTGAAAAGTTCAAGTGAATGTGTTTTACCTCCCTTGATTGTATATATACATGTGTGACATCACTTATAATGAAGTAAACAAGGTAGGTAAAAAGTCTTCCCTGAAAAGTTGATTGCAGCACTGTTCCTGCACTGTAGCATGTGCATGCAGCAACTTTCCAACTGGAGAGTTGACTTCGCACAGTCTCCTCGGGAACTGGTAGGGACCTGTTCCCTCAGTTGTTCCTTCCACTCTGAAGAGTTAAATCATAATGCAAGATAGATCCCCAACCTTGAACCTTGTGATCTTAAGGTCTTGTAAATGTGTAACAAGTTCCTTATATCATCAAAACATAAAGCAAAGTACGCATGACCAAAGTACTTGTAACCTATCAATACCCTAATTTAAATAATAAATCAACCCGACCCATCACCCTTATTTAATTAAACCGACCCGACCCAGTACCCTACAATAAACCCTAATCCTATTACATTACCCCATAACTTGCTACCCTTCAACTACGGTGACCGAACATCCGAACCCCATTTTCGGCCATCGGCGTCTTCAAGACCGTCATGACCTCCACAGTTCAACAGAATATCATCATCGAGCACACAATTTTAAGCCAACGTCACTTTAACGACAACAACCAACAACATGAAAGTGGAATCCAAGAGAAAACAGAATTTACTGCCTCCTGTCATTGATGCTATATGTGCCAATGGTAAAAATCACTGAAAAACAAAAAAGAATTGCAAAGAAAAGATCAATATTCTGTTATTGACCTCCAATATGAAAGCTGAATTTTTTAAGTCCCGATAAACAAAATCAGGGGTTTAAACTATTCTGCAGCTAAAAACCAGTTGAAATGAGCACACTTTTCTAATAATGAGCTCACTTTTTATTGACCATCAATTATCGTGAGAGGAGCATTTAGAGAAGAAAGCATAGGTGAGAGAGTGGGGTAATATAACATGATCGGGGTTTATTGTAAGGTACTGGGTCGGGTCGGTTTAATAAAATAAGGGTGATGAGTCGGATTGATTTATTATTTAAATTAGAGTATAGATGGAATGCACTACATTGTGATACGTGTTAAAATTTGGTGCTAAACATTTTATTAGTAAGGTCCGTCTAAAAGAGGGTATATGTGAGCCACCTTATACACAACAAGGACATATGTGAGCCCACCTTTTATTGACGGACAAATATATATAATTTCATATAATTCACTGGAATATATGGTCCTTTTCCGTTTTTTAAATACCGTAAATTATTTGCTTTTTAACATTGGAAATGCTTCACTGA